TTTGATATCTTTTCAAGTTCTTTCATTACGTTCTCCTTCGTTTTACTTATTTCTTCACGTTCTTTTTTAGTTAACTTTTCGTCGTTACTAAATGGTTCCAAAATCATAGTTTCTCTCATCGGAAAATATGGAATAACAAAACGACATTTAATACAACCGTTCACATATTTTTTACAGGTATGTGAATGTTTATGACGTTGCAAACTTATAAGTTCTTCAGAAAATTGTGTTGGTTTCGAACTAACTGAAATCAGTTTATCAATAAATTCTATACATTCTTTAATTGATTCAGGTTTATTTTTGTCGTATTTTGGAGCATTTTTTAACCATATCAAGGCATGAACATGTGGTGAACCACGAGCTTGAAATTCAATTCTGACATATTTGTCTTCTAGTTCGTAGCCTTGAAATGGACCAGAAGGAGCTGATAATATTTCCCATAGACATTTTATTCTATGTTCAAAATAACGAACACATGTTACAGGATCTTTTTTTATCAAATCACACTTCTTTTCATAGCTCATATTCTCTGCTTCTTCTAATGTTATGACTTTATTTCCCAACACTTTAGCCAATATTACAATAAGTTCTGACCACTTTGTTTCTGCTGCTGATAAAGTCAAAAAGATTGTAGCACAACCTAATTGCCTGTTCATGGCCATAAGTTCCTTTTTTTTCAGTTCCCAGAATGCTGGTGATGATCGATCACATCTCAAGAATGTGAAAGCGTCATCATTATGTATTAACCCATTGACATAATCTCGATTGAGTATTTGTGCAACAGTTACATTTTTTGTATTTTTTGTTTTTCTTAGAGTTATTGAAATAGCATCTGAAAACTTTCTCGTTTGCAATTTCTTATAGGTAAAAAATAGTTTCGATATTCTACCACATCTTCGATCGAACATTCTTAATTCTGACTTAGCAATTTTAGCGTAAGTCAATTTAACATTTTCTTTGATTTTTCTTTGTTTACCACAATAAATTTTTGGAAATGTTAATTCATCAACTTTCATATACATCAAAATTGATATTGGTCTATTATTCTCTGCTGGAGCAAATTTAATACCGATATCATTCTGATCTTCAATCTCATCATTTAATAATGTTTCGGTAGCTACTGGATCGATTGGTTTATCATCGGATTCATTCCAATTGGCATCATTATCATCAAATTCTGATTCCTTCATGATTTCATTCGCATCAATATTTTTATTTTCATCTTTAATAATGAAATTTTCTCGTTCATTAGAATACTCATTCAACCAATCATCGGATATAATGATACCTTCGCCTTTATATAGCTCCTGTTCGACAAGATATTTAACAGCTGTATGTACAACTTTTGGTCGAATTGTTTCATACATAAAGGCGTTTTTATTTTTCATTTGTCTCATGAGTTTTAGTTGGATTGTATGGGTATCGCTAAACTTTCTTGGTAAGACCGAAACATTTGTGTCAACATTCATCGGAACATTGGCCAGATTACCTTTGAGACCAAACTGTTTACAGAAGCCTAACGTTCGAATCACCATAAAAGGAATTCTTGGTGATGTTAATCGTTCTTCTAATTCAGTCAAGATTTTCAAACAATCTGGTATTTCATAGAATGCTAAACCATTAGATAGGCAAAGATTAGGTACTTTATTCGACATAATGTCCTTTATACAAGTAACACATAATTTAATGATTGCATTTTTGAGATAACAGACTGTATCAATAAATTCTTTTGGTAATCCTTTATTTCTCAACATCTCAACTGTGATTTCTTTGATTGAATATTCGAACCATAAACCGCCACAACAACTGCAAATGTGAGTAGGTCCTTCTTTTATTTTTGATTCATAATTTAATTTCATGAGATGAAAATTATTTTCGTATTTATCTCGACTCATACGCATTCTTGATGCATTTCTTCTTCTCTCTTCCTGTTTGTATTCTTCATCTTCACGTTTAATTTTCAGTGAATTCAGTCTTCTGTCATTTTCCTGTGTTCTGAATTCAATATTTTGACGTTCAATTTTATGAGCTTCTGCTCTTCTCTTATTTTCTTCTTTTTTGAATTCATCATTTTGTCGTTCAATCATAAGAGCTTCAGCTCTTCTCTTGTTTTCTTCTGTTTTAAATTCATCATTTTGCCGTTCAATTTTATGAGCTTCTGCTCTTCTCTTATTTTCTTCTTTTTTGAATTCATCATTTTGTCGTTCAATCATAAGAGCTTCAGCTCTTCTTTTATTTTCTTCGTTTTTAAATTCATCATTTTGTCGTGCTATTTGAAGTGATTCTGCTCGTCTTCTATTATCTGACAAGCGGAATCCATCATCATTTCTCCTTTCTCTCATGCTCTTTGTCATTTCGGCATTTTTCTGAGAGGCAGATCTTCTTTTTAATTTCGACATTTTCTCTCACAATTTTAAATGTTGCACTTTTGGTACGACTGATCTTTTAGAAATGTGAATAGTGAAATAAGATGCGATTAGATTAGCTGTTAAATTTTTAAATGATCTAGACTCTTCAATCAGATTAAGCACGTATATATACTAAGTATAACTTGTACTTAATGAGAAACGTATGTATCTCTTAACTTTTTGAGATAAACTAATAAACAAGAAAGTTTCTTTCGAGAAAAATCTTCGTTAAACTTAGTGAAGATTCACTCGATTCTAAGTAAGAAACTTTCAAAACTTGAAACTTTGATAGTCTTTTTTAAACAGTAAATAAATGAAGTATTTTTTTGTTCTGTTTAATTGTTTTACAAAAGTAATTTTTTTAAACAGTAAATGTAGTATTTTTTTTGTTTAATTGTATTACAAGATTAATTTAGATAATTGAAATCTACAAAGTACAACAAATTAATTTAAGATCAGCCAGACGTTATATGAGAGAAGCTTATGCGCAAGATCACTCAGTTCAATATATGAATTAGATAAACGAATAGTTAAGAAATCATTTAGTGGCTTTAAGTAAATTAAAAGCACTGAAAAAATGGATCTTTTTATAAAAAAATCTTTTATTTATTTTTTATTTAATACAACAACAACAGCTGTACAAAAATTCTCTCATACAACATGTTATTTTATGAGTTTTTTTTGTTTTCGACGAATATATGTGGTAAGTGAAAAGACAAACATATTCTTGATGTTGTTGTTGTAAATGATATGATGAATATGATTTATTTTTTTTTATCTTTTTAATGCTTCTTTAAAAAGTTCAACGCTAAAATTACATAAAATTTATTTCAAATTTTAGACAAAAAGTGATGTAGACATACATAGTAGATTTAAAAACTTCGACAGGTATATGCTGTTGTTGCTGTTCATGATTTGGAGCTCGTTTTTAAATCTTCGGTAATTTGGATATTGAATTAATATTTCGTTCAATTATTTTAATATTTATTGCTTCTTGACCTCGTGAAGCTATAAAAAAAAGAAACTTATTTTTAGTTGTTCCCAAACGGACAGTATCTAGAACTTCAATAGCATCTTCAACATTGACTCTTGAACAACCAAAACCAATTAGTTTATCGTCTTCTGATCGATCAAATAAATGGAATAAATTTGAACAAGAAAAACAGAAACAATTATCTCATGTATCTCAACATACAGATCAATTCACATCAACATCGACAGATTCCAATAATGATCAAACAACAACTGCTGCTCTTCCACATATTGTAGCTTTACCAAGCTCTGCATTGCGTACAACGGCTGTATGTAAACCTTCACTGGATGAGCGTATCTTATCAGAACGAATACAATCAACACATTCAAATATATCAATATTTAAATTCTATCTAGATCAAAAAGAAACAAAATCATCGGTAAGAAAAGAAAAAAAGAAAAATTTTATTTATTATTTAATATAATCTAAAATCATAGATTGGTCATCATACAAAAGCAACAATGTTTAACATGGATACTCGTCTTAAACAAACACCTTTTCCAAGTCCATCTTTATCATTTTTTACTAAAAATTTCAATGATGGTACACCTGAAATGGATACTGATTCAACAATTACACCTACATTTCAATCACTTGGTTTGCAGAATGATCTTGAAATAGAACGTTTCAATCAATCAGCAAAAGTTCATTCAGATGAAAAACAACAACAACGAAAAGTTTAAATATTCATTATTATCTAATTTATTTAATAACGATTAACATTTTTCTATTAATAGATTCCTCATACTTCATCATTCTCTGATTTATATTCAAATAGCAACAATTCTTTGCAATTTACTTCATCAATTATTATTGATCAACCAAGTTATTCATTGATGGAAAATAGATCAATACAAAATAATCGTCAAGCATTAACATCAATATATAAAAAACCATCATCTCAATTGCTTTATAATCCTTATTCTACAGTAAAATATAATCAAATATTTCAAGAGTATCGTAAGTACTTAAATCAAAAATAATTTATATTGTATAAAAGAAAAATGTTGATCTTTTAGAAAAACCTGATTTGGAAAATTATCGATCACCAGTATTATTCGATATCTTACCAACAACAACAACAACAACAAAACCTAGTCAAAGTATATTAAGAAATGAAAAATTATTTTCTAAACGATAATTTCATCAAAAGAAAAAAAATTAAATTTTTATCAATGAAAGAAATTATTAATTTTATGGTATTGAATACTTCATATCGAATAATATGTGATCATGATACTGATAATTTTCAATGAAAATTATTTACATTGAACTGGGTTTTTTTTTAATATTTTGGATAAAAAAATGACGTATTATACATGATATAATTAAAATATAGTGATTTACTTTGTATAATATCAAACTTAACCAAGTCTGATATAAATAATTTCTGTTGACGTGTTTCATTAACGATCGACGCATCTCTCGCGAAAATATCTTTCGAATCAACATAATCGTTACTAAAGAATATATAAAAGTAATTAATAATTAAAAAAAACATAAAACTAGTTGATTCATACCGTTTTATAAAACTGTAATGTTTCAACCGATTAATTGTTACAACACTACCTGTTACATCTCTTTCTACAATAGAAAAATTTGTTTTATTTTTTATTTATATCAAAAAACAATATTACCAATAATAGCAGCTCGATTATTATTACAATTAGATGATTGAGGTACATCTTTACGAGGTTGTAGAGATGTATTACCACGACCACCTTGTTGAGTTGTATCACGACGACCACCTTGTTGAGATCTATCACGACGATCACCTTGTTCAGATGCATCATTACGACCACCTTGTTCAGATGTATCACGACAATCACCTTGTTCAGATGTATCACGACAATCACCTTGTTCAGATGTATCATCACGACCACCTTGTTGTTTAGTATTATTATGACGAACTGATCGAGTTACACGACCAGTTGGTTCAGTTGTTCTTCGATAAAATAATCGAGTTGCACGACGACGAACGGGTTCACCAACCATTAATTCCGTATATGTTTCTTTTATTAGTTTTAATGAGATATATAGTTTTCTTTTAATCGAAAATGTTGATAAATGATATTCAAAAAAATTTTTTAATACTTTTTCTTTCTTTTGTTTTCTTTGGGTATTTTAATATAACGAGGATTAAGATGATAAAATATTAAATACTCCAATCATCAATTTCAAATTATTTTTTTCAGAAAGTTCATTCTGTTTTCGAGTAAATAAGAACGAAGAATAAGACACAGACAAAGATCTTTATCAAGATATTTTCAGTTATAAATTAAACAGTACATTTAAAAAAAATTTTAATGTATTTTTTTTCTCATTAAACGAGGTACAAATAAAATATGACTTATGTATGAAAATTCTTCTTTATTTGGGTATTGATGCTCGAAAAGAATCATGTGGTTTGCAACGTGTTGGTCATCATATAAGTCATTTAGAATATAAATCACGTTCTTTTAATTTAATACTTGGTCGAGATGCCAATTATTTTGAATTAGATTTTGAATTAGTATGTTATGAAACTCTTTAATCTATATGAATGCAATTTCTTTTAGGAATTTACACATTTCTGGTGATATATGTTATATTGCCCATTATTTTTCATGTACATATTCATATTTAAAAGATGATTTAGAATATTTACCACGAACATGTTCATATGATGTATTTCGTCGAGAAATTTTATGCGAATCATAAGCACAGAATTCATGTTTCTTAATTACAGTTACAAATGTAAATTGGAAATTATATGAATATTATTTTTCTTTGTAAGTTTCTGTTTTCTTTTGCTGCACATGTAAATAATAAAAAGAAATCTGTTTTTGTATGTGCACTAATACATCCTGGTGAAACGAATTCAAGTTTTATGATGTGCAGTGTACTTGAACATATAACATTTAGTGATGAAGAGTTCAAGTGAATTTCAAAAGGATATTAATAATCGAGAAATTTTATTGTTTTCTTTTAAAAATTACGGTCACAATTAGTATTACAATTGTTTCAATGTTAAAACTCAGATGGAGTTATTGTAGACAATTCTTGTTGTTCATCAACAGGAAAAGGTAAAATCGAAAATTCAGACATTCAAGAAAACAAGCATTTCTAATAATTTACCATATGAAAAAATTAATTCATTGATTACAAAAAAGAACGAAAGAAGTATATAAGTCGGAAAGCAACATTAATGGTTTCCATTTTGCTGGAAGAAATATTAATTAAAAATACATTTACGTTACCAGTTTCATCTGCTAGTTCCAGTATTGTATAAGTATTGGTATTATTTTCAAATTTTAAGTCTTAATTTTCTACAATTTTTTTTCAGAAATATCATCATATTTTAATATGAAAGATTATGAAAAATTTGGACAATATATCTGTCATTCATTAAGACAATAGTAGTTAAATTTTGTATGAAATTCTTCCTAAGATTGAATCAGTTTTGTCGAAAATTTTGTGAATCGATTTAAATATTTATAGACGACTGGACAAAATTTTCTCTCTTACCTTTAGTAAGAAAGATAAGATAATTGGTCGCAGAAATTATTTTAATCATTGAATAAAACAGTTATTATTTACAAAGTAAGAAATACTTTTGCTCAATGTTAAGAAATACGTCCAAAAGACGACAATTGATGTACCCACGAAATAAGTGGTATCAAGACTGTCTGTCAATAAATTATTGTTAAAACGTTGCTTATGTTCCACTACCGTCTATAATATAAACAAATTCTATTTTTGGACCAACTCCTAAACTGCTCATCAACTAGCATCTTAACAATGCTGTTAACTGAACCGGGCACACATCTATCAATTGTTTGTTGATTCCCTATTCCAAAGACACATTTTTACTCTTCTTATTACCTTAATCAAAATTTAGAGACAAAAGCCTGTTATAAGGATTAAGGACCCA